GGAAAAATAGACATCTGCTTGCAAGAATCACATTTGTCTTTTTTCGTTTCTGGAGCCTGACATTAGCAAACTGAACACAGCTGGATTCTTCCTGTTGAGCTATTTTACATGAAATGATGATCCCACTTTCTCTGATGCTATGATTGGCTCTGTAACACAAAAGGTGTGTCTTAAGAAAAAGAAAAATGGTTGGATTACATTGTGATATATAACTACAGATAGTCCTTGACTTACAACAGTTCATTTAGTGACCATTCAAAGTTACAACAGCAATGAAAAAAGTGACCATTTTCCCCACTTTACAACCCTTACAGCATCTCCATGGTCATGTGATCAAAATTCAGATGCTTGGCAACTGGCATGTATTTATGATGGTTGCAGTGTTCTGGAGTCATGTGATCATCTTTTGCAGCCTTCTGACAAGCAGAGTCAACGGGAAAGCCAGATTCACTTAACAACCTTGTTACTAACTTAACAACTTCAGTAATTCACTTAACAACTGTGGCACAAGTGGTCATAAAACGGGGCAAAATTCACTTGACAACTGTCTTGCTTAGCTACAGAAATGTTGGGTTTCCAAGTTGAGAACTACCTGTGCAGATTCTAGTTTGCAGCAAGATGTCAGCAACATGGTTCTCCTGGAGCCCAAGACCATCCCTCTCTTCCTTGCAAATGGTGCTAACAGTTCCACACAATGGCCACGGAAATTTTGGGCTCATTTGTGGTTGTAAGTCAAGCACTACCTGTATGTGTCTAGGTATATCCATATATGCCTAGGAGAGTAAAGAGTAGGTTGAAAGAAAGAGCAGCCACCAATTTACAGTATAAGCCATTTCACTTGTGTATCTAAGAACAGATCTTGATTCTTAATTTCAGTGGCAGGTATTTCAGGACAGCACTGTTAGCTCATTAAAGATTTACCATTGCCACGTTAACCTTAATGCTCTCTTTTTATGAGCATATTATTTCTTCTACAATTCCAGCATTAGTCTTCACTACAGTTTATTTCTCTAACATTCTATTTCACTTGCACAACAATTCCATTAGCTGTTCTTGTAGTTTCTAAGTCTTCAGAAACTCTTTCTTTATATTTTCATTACATGTCACTGGAACAAATGTGCGTACTTATGTGTGTTCATCTATTCTGTAACCCATTTTCCACTGACTTGCAAAGTTTCTATGATTTTTTTTTAAAAACTATATAGGATTATATCTAACATTTCAGTGTTTCTCAAGTTTGGCAACTTTACGATGCACAAACTTCAGTTCCCAGGATTCCACAATCCACATATAGTGCCTTAATGCTGCCAGCTTTGAGAAACACTGCAACAGATATTAGTCCATGCATCTATCTGTGTGTTTATACACACATGCAAGCATGCAGTGTTTTTGGCTGAAGAAATCAACATGCTAATATTAAGGATTTTCAATATCTGTGCTGACAGGTGTTTGAGCAAATATTTGGCTAAACTCAAAAATGCAGCTTGAGAAAGATGCAAGTGTTTTGAAATACGGTGGTTTTGAGGAATAGTTTTCCTTTTCAAACCAATGTGATGATTGCTCTCTTTTCTTGGAATAAGAAACAAAACCAGCTTGCCAGGTACAAATACTGTACAACAGCCAGTCAGTTCCTGTTCTGTTGCCTGTGAGCTGTTCAGAAATGCACCACAAAGCAGCTCCCTCCGCCTCTGAAGATGCCAGCCGCAGCCGCCTTAAAAATGTCAGGACCCAAGAAAACTAGAGCAAGACAGTTAAGCTCAAAAGCTCATCACTACTTGATTGATGCCAGCCACGAAAGCCTGAACCACTATAGGAGAAAAGAAAAGGATCTTTTAAAAGTTAAATATGACCTTTCTTTTTAACAATGAGCCTTAGCTTTTCTGTATTAGTAAAGTAATCACTCCTTTTAAGAATAAACTCAGGTGCTAAGATTCTAGCTGAAATTGGGAAACAAAGATTTGTGTCAGTCTAAGCAAGTCCACGCACCTTAGATTGTCAAATCTGAAAAGCACAGGTCTAGGATCATGAAGGAGATGTGGACTTTGATGGCATCTTCAATACCAACTGACTTTATTAGTAGGAAATGTTTTTGTCCTAATTAAAGTTGGTTAGTCTTAAAAATGTCCTAGCAACATGAATTAGCCTTGAAGATGAGCTTGCCTTCAGAGGTTGTGGGTGCTCTATTACTGGAAGCTTTCAAAAGAAGACTGGATAGCCATTTGTCTGAAATAGTATAGGGTCTCCTGCTCGAGCAGGAGGTTGGACTAGAAGACCTCCAAGGTCCCTTCCAACTGTGTTATTCTATGATTCTAAGATGCTACCTAATTCTATGTCTATTTACCTGAAAATGGGAGCACAAAGAGCAGGAGAGAAACCTCAGCATATCTGTGGAAGTTCTGATGTTTCCCCCCTGATATCGTAGGGAGACTTAACACCCTCAGGCTGAATGTCAGATGCAAAAGAAAACAGACCATTTGGGAATGGAGAAGCAGAGAGCTGGGAATACAGTGCTTTTCTTGGAAGGAACAACTGGGACTGACAGTATGCACATTTCATTAAATGTAATTGATTCATTCATTAATAACAACAGAAGGTTCATCAACTAAAACATTTTAATTAGTGGAAAATTATATTTTTCTTTTCCCATTAAAACATTGTACATAATAGAAAATATGTAAGAAATCAGTTTCAAGGAACATGTATTTCCACTTTGCAACCAAGTGTAGGTGGAATTTTCTTGATTTCTTTATCAGCTGATCAAAGTGGTGGACAAGGATAGTACAGACCTAAATTCAAGGCTGCCGTTGGAAATATGGAAATTCATTGAAAGATTTGGTCTCTCTCTCTCTCTCTCTCTCTCTCTCTCTCTCTCTCTCTCTCTCTCTCTCTCTCTCTCTCTCTCTCTCTCTCTCTCTCTCTCTCTCTCTCAGTTGGAGGAACTTCCTCCAGTTGTTGGGAGAATAAAATGAGGGCATAGTTACATGAAGCATGGGATATCACTTTAAGAAATCCATAAATGCATATTTTTCCTTTGTTTCTTTAATCAGAAATAGAAAAGCAGCTCTGCAATATGACAGGACAAGTTGAGGGCCATTTGACATATATGCAATAATAGGATGTGCATAGAAAAGAGCTGGGCTTGCATGATAACACTATGATACCCTCCTGAATGCTATTGGGAAGAGCCATGCAGAATTGGCCAAGGCATGTGACTTCAGCCAGTATTTGTGTGTTGCAAATTGAGTATGGGACATCAAGTTTTTTTTTATTGAAAAGTTTTACAAAAATTACAAAATATACCCCAACCCCCCCTCCCCCCCACTTCCCAGAGCTGAATACAGGGTAACAAATATAATAATCATAATCTAACTAACATTAACCAACATATGTAGATAAACAAATATAATGCACTTTAACTCTCTTTTAACATAAAGTAAACAATTTACAAATAAACTTTATCATATAATCAAATTAAAATCCCAATTTATAAACAATACAATATAATAAAAATTCCACTACACTAAACTATTATTATTATTAATAATAATAATAATAACAATCATAATATTCAATAATTTATTCATAAAATAAATTGAACTTTTTAGTCCCATATTTATTCTGAATATAATCTATCCATCTTCTCCAAACTGAAATGTATCTTTCTTGTGAATAATCCTTCAAATAAGCAGAAATCTTAGCCATTTCTGCTAAATTTGACACTTTAAGCGTCCATTCTTCTATAGTAGGCAAACAATCCTTCTTCCAATATTGCCCTACCAACAGTCTTGCTGCTGTTATTAAATTCAACATCAAATTAGTTTCCTTAACATCAAAATCTACAATAATACCCAACAAAAATAGTTGAGGAGTAAACTTTATCTTTCTTTTAAAAATATTCTGAATGATCCACCAAATTTTAATCCAAAAAGCTTTTACATTTCTACAAGTCCATCAAATATGAAAATAAGTTGCATCCAAACTACCACATCTCCAACATTTGGGCTGCAAGTTAGGATACATACAAGACAACTTTTGGGGATCCAAATGCCACCTATAAAACATTTTATAAAAATTTTCTCTCAAATTTTGAGCTTGAGTAAATTTTACATTTCTAACCCAAATTGTCTCTCATGTATCCAATAGAATCGGCTCTTGAATATTTTGTGCCCATTTTACCATACAATCTTTAACTAATTCCGTTTCAGAATCCAATTCACATCAAGTTATTTTTGACTCCTAGTAACTTCAGAGATTTTCTCCTAGCAGACAGTCTATCCCTAACCCATTCTTTCAATCTCCCAATAGTGCACTAATTACAACTTTAATGGAGGTTTGTTGTAAAACTCCTATATTAATTAAAAGTTTCCTGTTTCCATTTCCTATTTGACTTCTGTGTGCATATACAGTAGACTACTGTAAACCAGATATTTCCAACATGGTCAAAGGGGCTGTCTCTATGGGCTTATACGTCAGACTTCCATGACTGGAACTTGGCAGCTTATCACAGATCTCTTGACACTTCAAGCTACACACTTAGCTCCACTGCTTGATTAGACCTGGCAGAAGGCTCACCTATAGAGTTCAGCTAAATAAGAATCTTTATTGAGAGCAAGTACAAAGCCATACGAAGCTACTGATTGCTCATTGCCAGTGAGGCAGGGCACATAACTGTTGAATCCTTGGTAGTTTCACTTGGTTGTTTCTTCCTTTTGTCCTCCTCCAGAAATTAACAGGCTCCTGGCCCAGAGTTTGGTAGGCCTTGAAGCCAACTGGTTAATGTACACCACCCCTGGCCTGAGAATTCCTGATTACCACTTCAGCTCTCTTCATATTATGAAATTGGAGCCCAGGATGTCTGAAAAGCTCTATACTGGGGAAAGGGAGAATATCAGAAGGTTGGGATGGAGAATGTGACCCTATGTGGCAATTGCTATTTCTAAGTAAAAGGGGGAAAAAAGTAAATTGAGGCCAGAAAGCTGCCCCATGATTCTCAGTCCTACCTTGCAGCCTCGGAATATCGCTCTAAGCATCGGAAGACGGCAGCTTGACGAAGATGGTTGCGAAAATAGGCAGGGTTCAGAATTATACTCCTTCGAAAACAGCAAGCAAATGTTCAGGTCAAAGACCTAAAGTGACATAACATGGTAGAACCCTTTAACATCAAACTCTAGACAGTACAGATAATCCTTGACTTACAACTTGTCACCTAGCAGGTTCAACGTTACAACATAAGTTGACCCTGTTACCCCGTGGTCAGCTGATCACATTTTTAGTGCTCAGCAACCAGCCTGCATTTATGGCTATTTTCAGCAGCCCATAGTCAGGTGACTGTAATTTATGATTGTTTTTCTGGCAAAAATGCCCACTGAAGACAACAGGATCATGAGATTCAATTTATGATGACACATTTGTTTAACAACTGTTGCAAAAAAAGTCACAAAATCGGGTTGGGCACTTGGGTGTCTTGACTGACAACTGTTGTGACACAGGATGGAAATTCCATTATGGTCCTAGGCCAAGGACTACCTGAATGTTGGCTGTACTGTACAAGTAGATCTCCATTTACAACCATTTGTTGAGTGAAGATTCAAAGTTATGGTGACATTGAAAAAGTGTCAGATGACCATTTTTCATACTGTTGCAGCATCCCCAGGGTCACATGAACAGAATTTGGATGTATAGCAACTGGTTCATATTGAATGGTTGCAGTGTCCCTGAGTCATGTGGTCACCTTTTGCGACCTTCTCACAAGCAAAGTCACCAGGGAAACCCGATTCACCTAACAACTTTGCTACTAAGAAAGATTGTAAAATGGGGCAAAATTAACAACAGAAATTTTGGGTTCAGTTATGGTCTATGATCTACTTGTATATACATATCCTTCCATTTATTGCTATGTTGAAAGCATTTCCCACCCCCTTCCCTCCCCAGTTCCCAACAGTGACAGCTGTTGATGAGCAGGTTGTTACTAAAAATAGAATCAAGATGTGAAGTGTTAATACCACTTTACATTCTGTTGGCAGCTGAGTTAGAGGAGCAGGTGTTACTAAAAATAGAATCAAGATGTGAAGTGTTAATACCACTTTACAATGCCTTGGTAAGGCCACATTTGGAATACTGCATCCAGTTTTGGTCACACCATGTAAAAAAGATGTTGAGACTCTAGAAAAAGTGCACAGAAGAGCAACAAAGATGATTAGGGGACTGGAGGCTAAAACATATAAGGAATGGTTGCTGGGATTGGATATGTCTAGTTTAATGAAGAGAAAGAGGAGGGGGGACATGATAGCAGTGTTCCAATATCTCAGGGGCTGCCACAAAGAAGAGGGAGTCAAGCTATTCTCCAAAGCACCTGGAGGCAAGACAAGAAGCAACAGATGGAAACTAACTAAAGAGAGAAGCAACCTAGAACTAAGGAGAAATTTACCGACAGTTAGAACAATTAATCAGTGGAACAGAAGCTGTGAATGCTCCAACACTGGAAGTTTTTAAGAAGAGACTGGACAGCCATTTGTCTGAAATGGTATAGGGTTTCCTGCCTGAGCAGCGGGTTGGACTAGATGACCCCCCAAGGTCCCTTCCAACTTTATTATTATTATTATTAAATGTCTATTAAAGCTATGTCATAAATGTAATTTCATACATAGTATGGTCTGTTTCAGAGGCAGCAGTTTTACCTTCTCTCCCATTCTCCAAGAATATGTTTCCCTGCCTTTAGTGAGAATGTAATGATCAGCAACATCCTATATCAGGGGTGTTAAACTGCCGGCCCGTGGGCCGGATGCATCATAGCGAAACTGCGCCCATCCCATTGCTGGCAATGGCAAAAAAACTCATGATACGTCACGACACGTCACACGACGTTGTGGAGTTTGACACCCCTGTCCTATATGTTATTATAATAATGCCTTTTTATCTATCATTTGTGTTAATGATGATTCACAATATGTACACAAATCAATCACACAGAACTGAGGGAAAGTATTGGGGAGGAGCAGGCCATTGCAGTTGGGATGGTAGATGCTTTTTCTTTTGCAATTACGGGTAGTCCTTGACTTACCACCGCAATTCAGCCCAACATTTCTGTTGCTAAGTGAAACATTTGTTAAGTGAGTTTTGCCTCATTTTATGACATTTCTTGCCACAGTTGTTAAGTGAATCACTGCAATTGTTAAGTTAGTAAGATGGTTGTGAAGTGAATCTGGCTTCCCCTTTGACTTTGCTTGTCAGAAAATCACAAAAGGGGATCATGTGACCTGAGGACACTGCAACTGTCATATGAGTCAGTTGCCAAGCATCCGTATTTTGATCACAGGACCACGGGGATACTGCAGTGGTTATAAGTGTGAAAAACAGTCATAAATCACTTTTTTTCAATCCCGTAGTAACTTCAAACGGTCACTAAATGAACTGTTGTAAGTTGAGGACTACCTATCTATTTCACCAGGTAAGCCACTCCACCTGTTTGAAAAACTTTGCATTCTGAGCTCATATGTGAGAAGACAATAAACATCTCACTTATTTAGGAAAATATGCATGCACCACAGCAGATCCTTGCATATTTTCTGCACAACTACATGTTTATTGCCAAGGGATTTATTTAACTCTTTCTTGGCCTGATCTGACCCTGATAGCCATTTCTTTGAATGTAAAACTCACCTGGCGGAAGTAATTTCTTTCAGTCCTGCATCAGGGAAAAAACTGTTCAAGGACCATTTTACCTACTGTGAACTTGGATAGTATCTTGTTTGGCCCTTTCAAGGGATATTGTTTGCATTTCAAAAATGCATGTTCAAGACAGACATTCAGTTAATAATTGTGTATTGTTTGGTTCTAAGAAGATTAGTAAATGGAAAAATACTTGCCTATCACTGAGGGTCTTGTTTTTCAGATGTGCTATAAATCCAGCAACCCAGTTGCTGAAGCTTTATAAAAGCCGTCTACCTCACTGCTTTTCTGGCACCCCATTGGTTGTGTGTTCTTAGACATTTAGTTGGCCTAAATTATACCAAAATGCAATTTACTGTCCCCCTGCCACATTGTGTGTTATTCTTATATCCTGTGTGCAGGACAAATTAAAGAAAAGGATTCTGCTGGCATTATCTCTATCCCCTTTGACCAGAGAAAAATATCTACTGCTCACTCATAGCTAAGATGGGGATGGAAGCAAGGAAGAGTCCTGCTTGGTCAAATGGCTTATCCATCTTTTGAAAGTCACTCAGCTTTGCACAACTCTCAACCCCTGAATGCTGAGACTGGGAAGGGCATCAGGAGAAGGAGGAATTGATATATTTTCTGCAAGGTCACCAGACGTATAGATCTCATTTGAGTGCTAAGCCCATGTTTAAAAGCAGTTTGACTAACAAGTAACACAGAGGGAAATCACAAAGTACAACAGGAGAGCTCCATCTCACTTGACTGAGTAAACTCCTGGGGTTCCTATCAGCTGAAAAGCTGTTAAACCTGGATTTAAAAGTAGCTTGATTAATTGGACATAGTAGAATAACTTGATTAATTGGACATAGTGGAGTGATAGTATAGTGACAGTGATATGTTGCACCACTCAGCCCCTCAAGGATTGTTAACTGTTCTGTGTAGCCCCCAGGGGTTGTTACACATTATTGGGCTGATCGTGTTTTTAAAAGTGAGCAATTGGTTGGGAGACCTGGCAGGTACAGGGAAAGAGGCCCATTTGAAAGATTTAAATACTCCTGATGGCCCAAACAGAATAATTCTGAAAGATAATGCTGATAATGGAGATGGCACAACTCACCAGCTTAAACTGGCTAATAGATTCTAACTCAGTGGCTCCCAACCTTTTCTATACCCTGCACCCCTAGAATGCTTCTGTTATATTCTCACACCCCTTACAAAAGTTCAAAATAATGGCAATGAATTATGCATATATACTATAATTTTGAAAACCCAAGTTTTCTCACCACCTGGAATATCGTCTCGTACCCCGGGGGGTACAAGCACCCCCAGTTGGGAACTCCTGTCCTAACCATTAGGAACCATCTGACTGTGAAGCTTTGCAATATATATCCAGCAATCCTTGACCTCTACAGCAGAGGTCCCTAGCCTTTTGGGCACTAGGGACCGGTTCCATGGAGAGAGGTTTTTCAATAGACCAGAAAGTGTGTGGTTTTGTGTGCTGCCTGCATCCATGGATGGGGCTTTGCTTGTTTGTGTGGACCAGTTGCTCGCATGCCACGCTCCGGTACCAGTCCACACTCTGGGGTTGGGGACCCCTGCTCTTCAGTATGCACTTTAAAAGTAGATATTCTTTGACTTACATAATCAAAATTAGGGTGCTTGACAACAGAACATGTATTCATGACAGTTGCAGTATCCTGGAACCATGTGATCACCATTTGTGTTCTTCTTAGCCAGTTTCCAACAAGCAAACTCAAAGGCGGTAGGTGGGTTTGCTTTATGACCATGTGATTCACTTAACAATTGCAGGGATACATTTAACCATGGCAAAAAGTTTATAAAATGGGATGTCATTCACTGCAGAAACCTCCTTGCTTAGTTATAGAACTTCTGATCCCAATTACAGTCCTAAGCCAAGGACTACCAGTACATAAAAATTAATACAAAACATTATCCAACCATTCTGAATTTGATACAAGAGAATCCTTATATTCAAACAAGCAGATATACATAGTTCATGACAATTATACTAGTTTCTATTTTTTTGCTTTTCTGAAAATCCCAGGCAATTCTTCTTTGCATTGGGCCACAGTACTCTCCCAGTAAGAAACACGCCATTTGTTGAAAACCAAACATTAGCTACAGCAGTGTCACCAAGTCCAATGTGTGTGGGTGGCATTTTTTACAATAAACTTGCTTAGAGACAGGTTAACAAACTGGCTGATCCCTGGGACTCTTGCAAAAGATTTTAAAGGTGATTATTGCTTTTCCAAGCTGTTGTCAACAGCTGATAATAGCTACATTGATTTTTTCCCCCTACCAGATTATTGGCTATACCATTGCTAAGCAATAGCACTAGTACTTAACCACACATTTTCTACAGTCAAAGCTTGATGTGTTCTGATAGATGTAAACACACAGGGATTCATGACCC